TCATCTGTGACCCTAAAGGACAGATCCATGGGGCAATGATGCAGGCTCCATGTCCTTTGAATGCTGACTTGTTACTTTAGAAAAAGCTTTTTGGATAAAGCTTGTTTCCCATCAAGATACCACTGACACTTGCCCTGTAATATATTAAGTCTATGTTACCCAGTGAAAAATGGGAAAGAAAGCCATGTTGGACAGCCATTTGTAATTCTGCAAATAATGAAGCATGTCTACTGGCCCCATCTTAACCTTCTGCATACTGAGGCTCCGAATGTCCTTGAGGCCTTATGGTTGTAAGAAAAGGAACCAGATAGTATATTGGGAGACTTATATCCTGGAACAGGCTGATGGTTCTTCAAACTTAGTAAACTTTAAGTTTAGGAATGAATCAGTTATCCCTTTACCCTGTACACCAAAATCTGGGCTTTAGTTACACCTCCTCTCCTGGGTCAGGCTTATTCCTTCCCTCTGACTGGCTGTCCCTAGCAAACTTCTTTAACTCCACACATCTAAGACTAAGTGCCCCATCCTATAAACACTTAAGAAACCCAGTATCAGTGAAACTGCAGCCCAATTTGAGTCTAATCAGCTATTGAGAAAATACATTTTCCATTCTACTTGCTTGCTTTTAGAAGATGAAGTTAAAATGAAAAGACTTGGACATACCCTAAGGAACAGCTCTAGGAAGAAAGCACACTTAGCAATCAGATGGGGGGTGGGATTATAGATGACCTCAAGGATTCTGTTTTTGAAGAGACATTTTATGTTACAAGAAAAAAAATCTGCAGGACAAACGAGGGGGAGAATCACAAAGGAAGACATCTGGCAATGGAAATGACTTTTTATAAGCTGGTGGGCTTCAAGTCAGGACTGAATGGTATGATCACCTCAAAGGTAGAGATCCGCTCCTACACCAAATTCCTCTACCTCTGAGGCTAATAATGGGAGTTCCAAACCATTTTATTGCATTTGCATTTTATTTATTTGAGACACGGTCTCACTGTATGGCTCTGGCCAGCCTCAAACTTAGAGATTTGCCTGTTTCAGTCTCCCCTGAATGCTAGGATAAGATGTGCACCACCAGACCAGGCCTATTTTTGGTTAATATTTTATGTTATTGTGTGTGTGCATGCACACGTGTGCCATAGCACACAAGTGTAGGTTGGAGGACAATTTGTAAGAGTTGGTTCTCTCCTTTTGCCATATGGAGCCCAGGGATCAAACTCAAGTTGTCAAGGCATCTTTCCCTGCTGATCAATTTCTCTGGCCCCCATTTGCAATTACTTTAACAGCTCTAACTACAAAATAGTTTCTTGTATTTTTAAGCAAATGTCGATTGATAAAGTGACAGACTTCAAGTTTGCAATCTCATGTTCATTTCTTTTCACTGACAAAGCAACTTAATTTAAAAAAATTAAGTGTGTGTATGGGGGGGCACATATGCCATGGCATGCATTTGGGGATCAGAGGACAATTTAGGAATGATGGGCTTACAGATGCCTACCACCACATACATCTTATTATTTTTTTTTTAATGTGTATGAGTGTTTTGTCGGCATATATGTAAGGACACTGGGTGCATGCAATGGCCCTGGAGACCAGAAGAGGGGGTTGGATCCCCTGGGACTGGAGTAACTGTTGATTGTTGGGCCATCTTGCTGGCCCTCCACCTTATTTTTTGAGACAGGTATCTCTTTGAACCTGAAGCTCACCATTTCAGCTAGGCTGGCTGGCCAGTGAACTTCTAGCATCCACCTGTCTCTGTCCTCCAGCACCAGAGTTACAGGCATACCTGGACATATTGGTTTTAAGGTGGGTAACTAGGGAATGGAACTCAGGTCCTCTTGCTTTCACATTAAGTGTTCTTACTAAGCCATCTTTCCAGGTCCTCAAGCATTTTCTAATTTGGAAACATGAAAAATAATGAGGAAATTTACCTACAATATAACAAAAGGGTCACTTATACCTTGTCTAACAAAAGTGCAGATGACTAAGAAGAGTGGAAAAAAGTGAAAGACCACTAATTATCATCAATAAGCAGAGCTGCCAATGAAGACCTAAAAATGGCTGGCACTGGGAGGAGAAATAGGGTTGATTAAATGAACTACATTTTAACAGGCAGGAAGTTGATGTCTAAAACTGAAGACCTACCCATCAGCTATAGAGAGGGAGGTAAAAGCTAGGGCACAAATGACACAAAATTTAGAATTGTTTCCATTACTGGACTATTTTCATTTATGTTTTTCTGCATTTGATGATTAAAAAAAACCCAACCATTTGTAATTATTGTCATTAAAAGTTTTAACTTTTAAAGGTCAGCAAGATGGTTCAGTGGATAAAGGTGCTGGCTGCTGAGACTAAAGGACCTGAGTTTGATCCCTGAGACCCCACATGGTAGAGAGAACCTACTCCTACAAGTTGACCTCTGACATATGTGTGTGTGCTTACACAAATAAATGTAATAAAATAAAATTTTTTTGTGTGTGTGACAGGGTCTCCTTATAGCCACAGTTGGCCTGGAACTAGCTATATAAAACAGGCTGGCCTCCATCTCACAGAGATTCACCTGCCTCTGCCTCCGGAGTGCTAGGATTAAAGGTGTGTGCCACCAAGCCTGGCTAATATATTTTTTAAATTTTCATTATTCTTTAAATAGAAATGCTTAAAATATGGTTCACAGGGATGACTTTCTCAGGCTGTGAGCTAAAGCCCTGGTTCAGATGAATACAGTCAAAATATTCAGAGGTTGCCTAACCAAATTTTCATAAACAAACCACATAGAAAACTGAAAGTCAGTGGGGGCTATGGCCCCAGGTCCTGTGCCTTCTCTACTATCTAAAGATCTTTGGGGGGGAAAAAAAATCCCAGAGAAATATCAAACTCAAGATTAAAATCCTGGTTATGCATAAATACCAAGTCACAATTCTTCAAATGAACCAGGAAAATCATCATACAGTATGTAGGACTGAATGTTCAATGGTGTTATAACGATCTGGAAAAACAAAACAAAATCTTATGACTATAAAGGCCTAACTCATGTAATTCTAGATACACCATTAAAACTATTCAGAACTCAAAGAAAAGACTTTATTCTACATCCATATTTTGTATATTTTTTCTGAAAAATTTGAAAAACTATGAAAGTGAGCTGTCCCTGGCTCTACTTACCCTGTGGATTAAATAAATTTGTGAGTTTTGTCAGTGCCCTGGGGCCATGAAAACAAAGGCGCAATAAATTTGATGAACTGAAAAGTCAAAAGCATCTGTCAAGATAGAACCACTTGATAGAACTGACCAAAATAAGATAAGGAAAACTCCCCTGTGGACCTTACTGAAATTACTTTCAACATTTTCTTTCCAAAGAAATGTTTCTCAGTTGGTGATTACAAATTTCTCTTTTTCTAACTGGATTCTATTGTTCCTTTGTAAACTCCAAATTTTCATGAAAAAACAAATTTAAAGCGCCAATGAATATTGAGCTTGAAGACAGAACTTCTGTAGGAAGAGGTATCCTCATAAAGATGAAAAGACTTCTTAAAAAACAAAAATTATTTTGAGAGGGCTCACTTGTGGGTTAATTCTGCTTTATCTTGCCATCTTATTTAATGGTACCTAGTGTAGGACAGTTAGGAAAATGCATGACAAAGTAGGTAAAATGTTGGTGGCTAACTTAAGTTATGATAAAAAAGGCTCCAATCAAATCCCTATGAAAAAAAAGTTATCCTGGCTGCATATGCTTAGAACCTTGTTCTCACTTTTAACTGGAATTCTACTGCAGTCTGGATAAAAGGCAATCATGAGACCTCTGTCTGCAATGTACCCTGGGTTGAGGACATACCACTATTGTTCAATCATAAGTTGCCAATCTGTCAGTTTCTATAAAAAGCTTCAACATGCCTTTAATCCCACCAATCAAGAGGCAGAGGCAGGTGGATTGCTTTGAGTTCCAGGCCAGTTGAGGTGTCTCAAAAAGAAAAAAAAAGAAAACAAACAAACAAACAAAAAAACTCGAGCTTCAATGACCAGGACTTAAAACACTCCCTGCAGTGTTTTAAGAACCCAAGAGATTGGGGTGGGGTGGGGTGGGTAGGAGTGTCTGCTTGGTAAAGACCAATCACTGAAATTATTGTTTAAATTGCCTTCTGGTGTTGCAGGGATACATGTCGCTAACCTTTAGCACATTTAATTGAACATAATTTTAGTATCTATTTCAGAAAGGAGAAAATTGCAGGTATAATTACAGGCACAAATGCCAAGTTAACACTGTTGAATGCTTTGGCTCCTACTGAGGCTTTTACTTTGTAATTGAGGAAGCAGGTGGGCCAGTTCACTTAAAAGAACCAATTCAGGCCGGTTTGTTCAAAACCCTGTAAGCCTGACAAGGAGGCCATCCCGCCCCGCACAGCCCTGGGGCACTTCCTCAGAGGTCGCCCACCGATCACTGCTTAAAATTAGTAGCTGGGGCCGCTACACAAAACCAAACACAGTCTCCTCACGTGCAAAGCCTGGGAGTGGACCCCAGACCGTCAACTGCAACCTGCGACTCGCCCGCAACCCGGCGGCGACCTTGAAAACAGAGGAGGGCCTTCCCCGGGAAGGCTGGGCTCCACCCAGGCGAGCTGGGTCGTGACCTTCGCCGGAACAGAGCGACTCCGCTCCTGTCTCCCCAGTCCAACCCAACCCGGGTGGGGACGGGGGCTCGAGCGCTCCGCAGAGGCCTTCCCGGAGTCTGCGATCCCGGGGCACTGACTCACCGCCCAGGCCAGCGTCAAGCGCCGCCCGCGCAGCAGCCGCGACACTGCGCCAAGCCCGGCCATGTCTCAGTCGTTCTGCGAGTTCCCAACGCCGGGCTGCGCGTGCGCACCGGCCGTGCCGGGATGGGGGGGGGAGGAGGAGGAGGAGGAGGAGAAGGAGTCCGCGCATGCGCACTGTCTCACGCCCCCCCCCCGGAAGGCCACGGCGCCTGCGTACCACGCCCCTGCAAGGTGGGCGGGCGGGGGGGGCGTGGCTGCGTATGCGCAGACCGGACCTTTACTGTCGGCTAGGAACGCGGGGTCTGGTTGGTGGTCCGGTGGAAGTAAGTCGCCACTCAGTAATGGGGTCTGCTCCAGTGGGAGGTGGAGCATCGGTGTCTTTAAAGTGCTCCCCAGGACTGAGAGGGTCTTCGAAATCCGACGATGGACGCTGGGACCCAGGAGTTGGTGGGACCGGGCCTTGGACCCCGGGAGTAGGTGGGACCAGGCCGTGAGGCCGTGGAGGCCTGGCCAGCGCGAATAGCTGTTGAGGAGCCACAGGCTCCTCCTGTGTCAGCTTCCTGATTTACATCACTTTTTGCCAACTTGCTCTGATTTTACCGAGTTAAGATAGTATTTCTATATTTCTAGTGAGATAGCTGAAATCTTGGTGCAATTAAATGGCGTAAAAAGCAAACCATACTCCTAAATAATTATGCTTCTTGTGTTTTCACTTAATAGTAGATTAAATAGTCTTCCTTTTGGAGCATGTCTTTATGAGCATTACTTTGAATTATTTTGTTTACAAGGAGCCATTCTTATATATCTTTATGTTTCTGTTTCATTATTAATGAATAAGAAGATATGGACTATATTTGTGCATGAAACTTTATATTTTGCATTATTTCCTTAGGCTTATAGCCCAGAAATAGCTGTTACTGGTGTAGAGAGAATTAATATAATACAGTTCTCCCTCTAAGAGGTCTTCATTCATAGGTACAACCAACTGCAGATCAAATACATTTGGGGGAAATTGTGTCTGTTCTGGACATGTACAGACATTTTACCCATGGGGGGAAAATAAAGCATATCAACTGCTTAATAGCCTTTATTCTGTATATTAGGGATTGGGTGATTTAGAGATGATTTAAAGTATATAAACAGGCAATATTCAAATATCTCACCATTTTATATGGGGCTTTGTCTTCAAGTGTTTTGCATGTCCTCATGTTCCCCCACAGATAGTGAATGATGACTATACTTGGAATTTTTTGAATGTTAAGCAGCTTTAAATTAGTAGATATCTTTCTAAATTAGGTTCTAGCTTTAATTCTATGGTGTCTATAAACTATTGAGTTCTGAACCATACATTATGGGCACATCTTTATTGCCCATCATACTTCATATGCTTATGTGTGAAGCAAGATTTGTTGAAAACCCTATTTTTTAAAAAGAATTTCAAACTTGAGTTGAATTATTTATTTCTTACATGTATCATGGTTAACTTTTGGGATTTTTGTATCTGCAAGGGTACATGTAAGCAAGTTGAAAGTTTTTATGACATAAATTGGTGAAACATCGATGTAATATGGGTGCTTTGTAAACTAGTAGATTTATATTAACATTGCTCTCCAGCCTAGTTTGGGAGGTGTGCCTTGAGGCTGAAGCAACAACTTCTATAATCTTGGTCCTGACCAACATATTTTCCTTTGATTTCTGCCTGCAGAATGCTCCTCATTCTTCAAACCCTAGCTCATGTGAAACAATATTTCTGGTGTTGATTCACTTTTATTAGGCTGGCTATATGTCTGTACAGCTGTGTTAGATTCCTACCTACAGGGAACCAATAAGGGACATGATACACAGGCATGTATCACTTAACAGTGGAAACAGGTTCTGAGAAATGTTGATAGATTTCAGTTTTGTGTGAGTCCCAGGGTACCCTTGTACAAGCTAAACCTCTTATGACATGACTAGCAATATAATACTATGGAACTGCCTTCATATATGTGGTTCATTGCCAACAATTATAGAGGCTCATGATTGTGTGTTTTGTAGAATGAGAGAACATTTGATTTGTTAGAAGAAATTGGTATAAGCATTTAAATGCTTACCTAATGCTGAAACACCTCTCACACACACCAGAATGCTATTTAGCCAGTCTGATGCCATGTCTTAGTCATGATACAGAAGATAATCGTAACAAGCATGCAGAGGACTTGCCACATTCTACTTGTGCTTCACTTAAGTGTCTTTTTCCCCCACTAGGTTGTGACTTATTTCCTTCTTGAGTTCTTAAAGGGGGCAGTGTAGTACAGCACATAGAACTGAAAAAGGTTTTCTTGAATAAAAAGAAATGATCTATGTAGATGATAACAGCTTTATTTTGTTCCTTCTATATAGTATCTTTTTTCATTTTCTTCAAGGTATTGCTCCATGAATAATTTAGATGATCCCCCGAATTGGAACATCCGGCCCAACTCCAGGGCTGATGGAGGTGATGGGAGCAAATGGAATTATGCCCTGTTGGTGCCAATGCTGGGATTGGCAGCATTTCGTAAGTCATGATTTCTTGACATTTCTGTTTCCTGGGCTAAAAGTGTGCTGGGAATGGGGTGCTGCAGGATTGGACCCTGGAAGACTGGCTTTAGGACCTGACTGGTATAGTGCTGTTTACCCTAAACTGACTGTGTGGCCGAGTACTTAGCTTTTCTGAGCCTTGATTTATCTGTCCCTAGAAGGTAGCTTATCATGCTCAATACATTGTGAGGGAGACAAAAACATTTAGAAGCATTTGGTGTGGGATAGGTTTTTAATAAGTTTTAGCCTCCTGTCCTGGCTTCACTGCTCTAAGGGTATCCTTTGCCTTAGTTGCTTTTTTGGTGACAGAACTGGAAAAACAGACCTGAAAGAAAGCTAGAGATGTATGTTTAATATTTTAGAAGTCAGTCTAAATTCTACTCTGTAGGCTAGAAGTCCTCATATTTGAACTGACTGAACACCACTGAGATCCTTACCAATTTATATAGACTACCAGTTCCTTTTGTGTGTGCGTGTGTGCGTGTGTGGCGAAAGAGTATTTGAGAAATCCCCTAGCCCTTGACTATGTCCCCATTGATGTAGAAGAGCTGGTCTGTATTTCTTCATGTCTTGTGGTTCTAATTGTTGTCTTAAGAATATGGGAAACTGGTGATTCAACGGATAAAATACTGCCCTCTATGTGTAGGATCTTTTTATACAGTGACTTTTTATGTGCCTGAATTTCTCAGGTCAGAAGTTTGCCTTGGAGGCATCTGAGTGTTGCCTGCTGCTAGTCATGTCCATCCCTGAGGGTGCTGCTAAAAGACTTCTGCCTACCGTCCTCCTTCAGTACAATGCTCAACATTGAAAGGCATCTATTTCTGTTGGCTCTGTGAGTGGCTTGAGAGCCTTAAAAGTGTAGCTTTTATACCAGTTCATAACTAGCAAACTCTTTCTTTTCCTTCTTGGTGTTCAAATTGAAGCTTTCTGTCCTGAGAAGGGTTAAAGAATGTTTTATGATTCTGTATTGATTATCTTACTTAAGTAATATGTACAGAGGTAACTTTGATTTTTTTTTTTTTTGTTGTTGTTGTTTGTTATTTTGAGTCAGGGTTTTACTATGCTGGCCTTGAATTCACAATCCTCCTGCCTCAGCTTCTTAAGTGTTAGGGTTTACAAAAATGTGCCAGCATACTGGTCCAAGGTAACTTTTTTTTGTTTTTAATTTTTAAGTAAAATCAACAAATGTTTATTAGCCTTTATTGGGTATTCAGGCTATTTTTTTCTGAAGAATTTGTCAACTGTCTTTAAAGAACACTCATTATATAAGTTGTAGGTAATCTATATATATTCATTACATAGTGTGCATGTGTGTGTGTGTGTGTGTATAAAACAGATATAAGCAAAAATACTTATATTTATTATGTAGTGCTTTTACCTTCAGGACTAATGTCTCAAACTGCCATATGAAATAAATACTTGATTTCCTCAGGCCAGTGAGACTTGGGAGCGTTCTAGAAGACATCTCTAAGCCCCAGTGTTAGTGCTTTCATGACGAGATGAAACGCTTTTGTAGAGCTTGATTCAGATGTCCTCTCTGTCTCTGTCTCTCTCTCAGTCCCTTCCCCCGTGTGTGTGTTAACCACCTCATCAGTGACTTCCTATTCAAGACTCCATGGTAACATGGGAGCCACACAAAGCAAGGCATAGCTGAGTCAAAATCACAACTCTGTTTCTCACCAGAAGTGTGATTATTCTTCATTTGGACTATTGAGAGATGATGTTATGGACATTTTTTCAGTTCCTTATAAAGCATTGGTTTATTATGGTCCCTAAAATAGAAGCTTCTCTCCTGAAGATAAAGTTCTTTGGAAATGCTACTTGACATTTCTCCTGGTGGGCAGTTGCTGTAGCAGAAAAGTAGAGTGTGTACTGGGGTGGGGAGACAGCAGGTGACAGAGAGTGTGAATCTGGAGGCCCGAGACAACAGTCAGCCACTCCGTGTCCTAAGACAGATTCTTGTATATTAGTCACATGCTGCTCACAGCCATGGTGTGGGCATTCCCTTTGCCTTCTCACATTGCTTTGTTAGATGATTAATTAACTCATCACCTCAATTCCAAGCTGGAGCTTACTTTGGCTTCCTTTTTTTTTTTTTTTTTTTTTTTTGATTTTTTTTCCCGTTAATTATTTATTTAATAACCACATACTTACAATAAGCATTTCGTTACAATAGCATTGACATATACAATAACAATTTTCTGAGCTAAGGTGTATCTTTTTCAAAATTGGCTATATATTTTTAGGTTTATAGTTGAATTATTACAGTTATACAATATTGTACTCAGTATAAACCCTATAAGACATAAAATTAAATGAGGTTTTAACCTTTAAAAAAGATCTCCATTTCATTATTAAAATACACAGTTTCATACAGAAAAAATTCATTTTCAGTACAATTAACATTAAGATGTTTGCACATGCGTTTCTAATTGTTATATATCTGATTATAACTAGTGACAGTCGGTTACTTTCTGAGTCGGCATCTGAGCATGGATATAAAGTCATCAGATTTCAATGGTAATGTTTTTCACATCTACTAATTCTTATTATTTTTTTAACCATTTTAAAAAATTTTTAATAACTACGTGATTAGAAGAAGCATTTCACTACAGATTTAACATATTCAGTAACACACGACAGAGCAAAAGTACGTCTCTTTCACAAGTGGGTGCAAGCTTCTAGGTTCACAGTTGAGTTATACAGTTATACAATATTGAATTCACTATAAGCCCTGTAAGACATAAAATTGAATGAGTTTTTTAACCTTTAAAAACGATCTCCATTTCATTTTAGAATATATTGTTCCTTGCAGAAAGACTCATTGTTTTTGCTACTAACACTGAGATGTTGGCACGTGCATCTCTAATCTGTATGCATCTGATTATTACTAGTCATAATCGGTTGCACTTTGATCCTTGGCGCCTGTGTATGTCTATGAAGTCATCGGATAGATTTCAGTGGTAATATCACAGAACATCCCAAACCATCTTATTCAACTATACACCCACTTCCCAGATGGCACTCCCCGATAGCCTTCCTCCCCTGACTAGAGCCCTTATACTCTGATATCCCTGCTATTGTCTGCTGTTGTTGGCACCCCCCAGCCATTCCCCACTACTTGTCCATCTGGTGAATCTAGATCTATCTAGAGGTCTTTGTTTTAGGAGGGTCAGCTGTTCCTTTTCTAGCAGCAAACAGTTGTCAATACTCCTTTAGATAAGATTAGGGTCTGCTGTTCATTTTCCCAGTTTTATGCTGGGTTACTATTTGGGAGTCCCTTTGGCCACTGTGGCCAACAACTCAAAAGAAGATATCTCCTATCTGGCATTGTTGCGTGGTATGTAGCCTTTAGCTATACATATGGACTCTTAAGAAATTATATTGACCCCTTTAATCTTTGGTTATACTTTTCCCTTTGGATGTTTAAGGCCGTACAGTAGGCCCAGATAAACCAAGTTATTTTTACTCTTAAGGTCCTTTGAGGATCTGTTCCTCAGGGGTCACATGAGCTTGGGAGGAGCCCCTGGCTCCTTTCTTTTACTAGTTCTGCCTATGTGAAGATAAGTCAAAGGGTCCTGCTCGACCATGGTTGGCTTTGCTTGGAAGCATGGAGGAAGTGATTCCTCTGTGTTGACCCTCCTCTTTATAGACTGTTCACTGGTTCAGGTCCATCTGGTGGGATCTCCTTGTCCTCCTTGATCAAGAGGACAGGTGACCCACCACAATTACAGGACATTTTGAGAGATGCTCATAGTCTCCTGGAAGTAGTCGACCTAGGAGGGCAAGGAGCAAAAACTGTCCCCTATGTCCCTCTGACCAAATTATTATAGTTCTCAAAATATGTCTGTTAAACATCCAAGAAGGTTAGTTCCA